GGCAAAATGATTCAGGACATTGAGACAGATACGACAGCACAACTAAAGACACTCACAAAAGAGGACTTCCAGAACTGCTTCAGAATATGGCAAGAATGATGGGATTAGGGTATTTGAAGCTAGGGGAAGTATTTCGAGGGGGATTAATAGCAATGTGTCTTTTACTGTAATAAATTTTTTTATTTAAACATTCACTGTATTGTTTGATCATTATATGATTATATATATATATATATATATAATTATTAATGGCTTTCTGCTTTAATTTCTTTTCAATTAATCAACCAACCAGGTATATGCTGCTTCATTCATAAAGTGTATCAAGTGCCTACTATAACGGTTCTCAGCACTGACTACAGGCTGTGCATCAGAATCTCCTGTGAAGCCTCTTTTAAAAACTGCAAGTGTCGGGGAGGGGAGTTGTCACTTTGTGAGGGGTGAAAAGCATAACTATTACATTGTTTTGTACACCTAAAACTAATAATAATAATAATAAAAACTGCAAGTGCCTAGATCCCATCCCTAGAGACTGATTCTGTAAGACAGAGGTGAAGATAAAAATATTTCCTTTAGGCAGAGTTGAGAACCACTGGCCTGTTAGGTAATGAGTATCCTAACAATGATAAGGAAACAAAATATATTTGCCTCTCAAAGAGCATATAGTATAATGACAGTGACAGAAATAAAATTTTTTATTCATAATAAGGTGCTAAATTCACTCTATAGGTATATGCCAGGTGCTATAGGCAAACAGAGATAAGGGGGGAAAAAACTAACTCTGCCTGGAGTTGGTAGATAAGGAAAGTAGTGGTCTGAGCTGGTTTCATGGAGGTGGTGTTTGAACTATGAAGTAAAGAGTAACTGGAATTCTCCAATCATACCAAAGCTGGAAGAGATATTCTAGTCAGAAGCAATAGATTGAGAAAAGGCACTGAGATATGAGAAAATATGGTGTTTTCAGGGAATACAATATGCTTAGGGAATCAAGGAAATGAGAATGGAAAGGTAAACAGGAGCCCCTTGTGAACGGAGCCACATATAGATCAAGTTAAGCAGTTTAAAGCTTATTGTACAAAGCAGTGGTTTCAAATTGTGTTTCACAGAATTCAAGCTTACAAAAGACAGTTCATAAATGCATACATACCGAACATAAAACAGATTGCACTAAACCAAGGCATTAAGCTGTTTGGTTTGTGGGGGTTTTTTTCTTACCTTGACCAAAATTTCTTCTACCACTTTTGTGTTTTTTTAATTTCTTATAGATGTATCACTGATTATACAGGTAGCAGTTTTACACTTTTATTTTTTAAGGCTAGCAAATATCCTACTACCTGCCTATAGATGCTATTATACAATAAAAACCAAAAATATATATATATATATACACACACACTTTATAATGTATTATCATAATTTTCTTTAAAAGGTATGCCAATAAACTAACATACTTATTTAATAATTGTTATTTATTTACAGGGGTTTCGCATGAGACTTGTTTGTAGAGCATCACTTCTTTAAGGAAACCAACATAGAATTTTTAGCAGAGAAATGACAAAATTAACAGTATAGTTCAGAAATAACCATTATGTTTTTTTATAAATACATACATATATTTTGTTTTATTTTATAGGTTTAAAATTTTCAATTTCATAAAATTCTTATGTTCACCCTAGCATTATATACTCTCCCACAGATGCCAGATGGAAAGGAGATAAAGTTGAAAGAGGTTAAAATTTTTGACACACCTCATTGAGAGGAATATTGGGAAAATTCAGTCTGAATATCACGTCAACATTTTCCTTTGGAGTCTGCCAATTTTTATTGACTTATCTCTGATTACTCTTTTTTTTTATTGTTAGTTTCAGGTATACAGAACAATGCAATAATTATCCTTTTCACTCTTCACACAGAAACAACCCCCCTCACTCATCTACTGCCCTCCCACCCCCGATATCACACTTATCTATTACAATTCCATTGACTCAATTCCCACACTCTACTCCACGTCTTGTGACTATATGTATATATATAATTATAGTTGACATACAATATTATTCAACATCAGCTTCAGAAATACAGTGCGGTGGTCAGGCCTCTACACCGACTATGAAGTGGTCTCCCTAACAAGACATGAGTCCATCTGGCCCCCTAAAAAATATTTACAACATTATTGATTATATTCCCCAGACTGTCTTTTCTATCCCCTGAGGCCATATTGTAGTTACCGATTTGTATTGTCTCGTCCCTTCCCCTTCTCCTTCATCCCCACCCCCTCCCAACTAACAACCCTCAGTTCTTCCTCTGTGTCTCTGAGACTATTTCTGTTTACAAGAAATAACCATTATTAAAATAGGGTAAAACAAGAGGTGAGAAGATCAGTTAGGAAGTGATTTCAAGAGGCCAAGCAAGAAAATATGATGGAATGAACAAGTACTGGAGATGGCGAAAAGGAAATATCAAAAATACTAAGGAAACAATAGATAGGATTTACTGACCAATCAGATAATAGAGAGAAGGATGGTTTTCAAGAGCAGATTCTAGATTTATACTTTAACTTTGAGCATGCTGAAAAGGTAGAAGTACCCAGAAGGTGCCAACTGATTAGTATTCAGAATAGAATATTCTTTGCACATTCAATCAGTGAGTCCAAATAAAGTCCCCATTTTAGTAACAGTTCTAATTTTGAAATTTCCTTATTCCATTTTTATATATTTTATTATATTTCAGGTAACCAAATCATAGTTCTAAACACTTTTTAAAATTTACTATATTCCTACCCAAAGATGCCATAGTACTTTCCCTATTTAGTAAGATTTCAGTACTATTAATATTCAGCTTAATAGCTATCTAGCCTTATAATTCCTTTGAAAATTATTACCTGATATTATTACCCACTGGTTATTGTCATTCTATGAACAACAAGGTAATTTAAAACCTTTAACAATAATATAAATATACATTTTATCGCCTTTTCCAGTTTATACATTGCTTTAACCAAACTGTCTTGTTTGATCTTCCCGATGACCTTCTTAAGTAAGAAAAAGGTCAAATATATAATTATGGAAGGTGAGCACACAATGCAATATACATGTGATGTATTATAGAACTATACCTTTGAAACTTATAAAATCTTATGAACCAATGTTACCCCAATAAATTTAATTTAAAAAAAAGAAGAGCAGAAATACTTATTACCATACTACAGATGAGAAAATCTAGGCTCAAGGCAGATGAACATTTTGCCCAAAATTATGTGGCTGGCAAGTGACAGAGCTTTAAATAAAATACAAAGTTTCCAATTTCAAGGCCAATGCTCTTCCTACCATGCGATATGTTTCTGATGTGATATTTAACTTCTGCCACTTTCCATGACTATCTTGTCCTAATAAATAGGAAGATGACTATAACCCCATTTTCCGCTCTTACATTCACTCATTTCCCGATTTTTTTTATTTAAAATCTCCTCTACCAGCTTTATAACCTCAATAGCCTAATGCCATTCAGTTTGAGAAGTCTACTTTTTCTACACCAATTTAACCTCCACTAAAACTCTCCTCCATCACTACCACATTCATAAACTGAGAGGATTTTGAATTTTTTTTTCAGAATTTTGAAATGGAAATAGTAATATATCAGAGGTTAGAATATCAGGGCATAATCCCCTTGCCTAGCAGTTCAAATTTGGCCTCCAGGACCCTTTCACATATTTACATTATGACCACTATTTAGCTCCTCCCTAATCTGACATAATATTACTTAAAATTGAGAACAAAATTATATACAACTTTGCGTACAAAACTGCATTATATATAAACCTCAGAGGGTAGGTTAGAATTGAATCTGTTTATCTAACCTAATTCTAAATAAACTTGCTTTTATATAAACTAACTCACAATATTTTAATAACTGTAGATTTTATGTTTATATTAATAGTGCTACTGGAAATGAAGACTAAGGTAATAATTGAAATGTATTTTATCATATATAATTTGTTTACTACAAAAATAATTTTAGTAATTTTAAAAAAATTGGTGAAGTACCAAGAAATTTAGTACTAATTCCTGTGATTTCAAAAATTTACTGTTTCTTCTTATGTATTCAAACACATTTTAAAACTATATTCATCTGTATCATATGAATGACAGTAGCTTTTTTATTACACATACCAGGTCAAAAGCACATTTCTGGCTACCCCAAAAAAAAGGACAGTAAAAATTATAAATCACTTTATTTCAGAAAATATAACAGTCGTATATTAACATAATGCTTGTTTTGTAAGTTCTCATCTCTCCCTAATCAGAATCGCCTTTGCTTATTCATTAGAAGTTCAACATTAAAGTATAATTACCTAAACTGTTTCCTCACTAAAGCAGAACACAGGCTATTTTTTTCTTACAAGTATTACAGGTTCTCACAGGTTTTAAACCATGGTATTTGTTAACTTTGTTCCTTGAGAGTTTATGACTCTAGATGTGCTTTTTTAATTCAGAATTTAAACAATGATTTTCAAAACAATGCCATTAGATCTTTTAAAATGAATATATTCATCTAGCTATTATCTATTCAATTCCAGCAACATCTGAATAGCTTTAATCATTTTATTAAGCAGTGAAACAAAATAACAATTCATTTCTCTGACTGAGATCACGGGATTAACCAGAGTGACAATTTTCTCCTTCAGTATACTCCTTATATACAAATATTACCTTAAAAAATTTTGTCCACTATTGGGCCTTATCATCATTTTCCAAATTCTGTTTTTTATGTGTGCTTGCTTTCCCCTTAAACTACCACTGCCACTGAAGTTGATGCCTGGAATATCTTTATTCATGCAAACTGACCTATCTACAGAGCTCTCTACACCCGACTCTGATACTGGCATCTCAACAATCTCCAGTCCCTAGTGTGTTGTTGTTTTTTGGGTGTTTTTTTTTTAATACATCTCCCCTCACAACAGTACAATAAAGAAACAATAGGCTTTCAGCCAACTCAAGACTTACCTTGCAAATATGGAAATACTCTGAAGTCAGGGTTTCCTGAATCTCCTCTCTGAGGACCCCTGCAGTCCCTCCAGGGTGCACGGAACCGCTTCCACCACCACTGTTACTGCCACTGCCGCTACCACTGCCCGGGGAGGAGGCAGTCAAGCCATCCAAAACTTTTCGGAAATTAAACTTCCTCATTTTAAAAACTGTTGAGAAATTCAAAGGAAAGGGTGACTTAGCACATGGAATTATATACCTGAGTAAAAAGTGTTTAGTTTTTCACGAGTCAAGACAGTATCCAGTCCCCATTTTACGAGCATTGGCTATAAAGAATTGGGGGGGGGGGGAACAAAGAGTCAGGCTTCATGTTGTCAAATTTGAATTCTAATGAGCATAGCCTTCAATACCAAAAAAAAACCCCACAATTCCGAAAGCAACAGTATTTCCTCCTTATACATCAATTTTTCCAGGGCTTTATCCCCAGCTGCTGCTACGCTTTATCAGCACTGGGGTAAAAATAAAAGGCAGTGTCATCGTCGTCATTAGCATTATATCATCATTATTATACAATCAATCCAGGGTCCAACAGACCGAGACTCCCTCTTCTCTGAAGGGCGGGCTTCCCAACTAAAGATTCAGTTCAGAATATTTTATTTTCAGAAAAAAATGATGCGGGGGGAGCCGGCTTTTACTCTGCCATCACCTTCTAGGCTCACCCCATCATCTTCAACGCTCCCTTTTTCCCAGGAAATGATGGGGGGACTTTTTCCATTCCTCACCCCCAACAGCCCGGACCCCAAAGCATCTGCAGGAGACTCACAGCAACAGCTATCGGTAGGGGCGAGCGGCGGCGCCAGCTGCCCCCGCTTCTCCCTCCGCCTCCCCACTGCCCTCCCCGCGTCTCCGGCCCTCCTCCCACCCCGCACTGCCCGAGCCACCGCCGAGCTCGCCCGCGGGTCGGCTCTCCCCGCAGCACAGCGGCGGCTCTTGGGGGACGTGAGGCAGTGGCGGCGACGGCTGCGGCCGAGTCCCGCCTCTGCCAGCTGTGCGCGCAGAGCGGCAGCTCCCGCGGTCCCTCCCCGGGCCGTGCGCCTAGGCGCTAAGGCTCTCTCCCACGGGCGCGCGAACACACAAACACCCTCACGCAGACATTCACGCGCGGGCATTCATGCTCACAGACGCACACACAGGTGTGAGGGAGCCGCGTCGGACCGCGGCGTCCGCGTCCCAGAGGGATGTCTGTCTGATTCCCGACTTAGGCACCTTCCTCAGCTGCCACTATCCGCCTGCCAGCCCGGGAAGCTCAGGGTGCAGAGAGAGGCGGGCTCGCAGGCGTCGGTCCGGAGCGGCTCCGGCGGCTTCTCCAGTCCCTCCGGTCGCAGCGCCCGGCGCTCTCCGAGGTCCTAACAGAGCAGGCAGGCTCCACCTCAGGCTCCGCCCTCCCGCCGTGGGAGGCAAGCCCCGCCTCCAAGCCGCCTCCTCGCTTGCCCCGCCCCCTCCTGCCCAGGCCTCTCAGAGTCGGTGAAAGGGCCGGAGAGCGCCAAGACATCAAAAGGAGGGAATCGCTTCCGCCTCAATCCTAGGCTAGACAGGGCTAAGTTCCGCGGTTGCGAGGTGGACAAGAAATTTGGGGATAGGCCGAAGGAAAAGCCAATGAAAGGTGGAGGGGGTGACTTTAGAAAGGTAGGTGAAGTATTTGATTGACAGCGGTATTGGCCAGTATGCGGGGCGGCCGAGCTTTAGGGGTTGTAATTGGCGCTACCTGTTGAAGGACGCAAGTGTGAATCAATAGAATGCCTGGAAGCGTGCAAACTTGGGCTCCTTGAGTTCGAGGCTTTAGGAAGGATTTCCCTAGGTCTGGCTCTGGGCAATATTGTGAATTTGGCAGGTGTTTTGCCGTTTTGCCTCTGTGAGCCTTTTCCCGCTCTCCAGGTGCATCTATTGAGCTCACCTTGCTGCCCTTCTATTGAATACTTGCATAATGGCTTAACGGGTCACCTCTGCCTAAGGGAATTGTAATTCGGTAGAGTTTTGGGATGTACTGTATAGCCTTTTAGATACTTAGGAATTAATTGTTCACCTTATTCCTTCTAATACATAGAATTACCCCTTCTGCCCATTTTCACAAAGATTTTTTTAAAGAAACATTTCTCTCATTAGTAAACCATGTTAAGAATGTATTTTTAGCTTTTTCTATGAGTCACAATAATCAGTATGAAAGATGTACTATTCCGTGCAGAATTTATTTTTTAACTGCATCAGGATAGAAAGATTTGGTTCTGAGCCTTGACGTGTTACTGAATTGGGGAAAATTTGTACCTGTATATCTTAGTCTGTGAAAATGAAGGGCAGCTCAGTGGACCATAGCTAGCTGTAGACTTCAATCTGGGCAACACAACGGAGCTCATTAGTAATCATCCCAAATATTCTTACGCTTTAGAAATCTTCTAGGATTACCTCTTCTTTTATTACTTTTCTGTGTGTTTGTTGGGGGGGGGATGGGAGGGGTGAAAGGAGAGACCTAAAAGAGAAATGAGTAGCTCAAAGTCACATAGCAAGGAAATAGCCAAGATGGAATATAGCACATTTTTTGTATCCTCAGCCCAATGTTCATCCTCTACTTTTGAATATTTCAGTACTTAGTGTCCTCCCAAAGACCCCCAATACTGCCTGATAGTCTCTCATTGTCACAGCTAGCTAGACAGTAACACTCTTGAAGGTAGGCATACAATTTTTTATTTCTCCTTTCTTGGCTAGCAGCTGACACAATGTTTCACATATAATAGGCACTTAAAGCGTTTTGAACAGTTGGTTTATTAATGGTTATTAGTAGAAGATTTATGAGATGATACCCAATTATATGATGTTTGGGGAGTGGTAAAAATAAGGGTAGAAACAAATGCCATGTCTGATGTTAACTAGATCTCAGTGGGGTTCCAAATTCTATATTGGGTTTCTAACAATATGTATCTTTGTCTTTTTTCCAATTTTTCTTCTCTTCTTCCTGGCCCATTTCACCTCCAATCATGGGTGCCCATTAAGGCTCAAGACTTTGCTTTCCTCTTTTTTTATGCCTGGCTTTTCTTTAAATGGGGGTTGGAGAGGGGATTGCTCTAACTCTTTGAGAAGCAGGCATTGTTTTCTAAAATAATGAATTTAGATGTCCACCTTCCTGTCATCAGAAAATCTATCAGCAACTCCTCAATTTTCAAGTAAATGAAAACAAGACTGTACCAAGTGGTGGCTCGGTCTTTTGATAAAAGTGAAGAAAGAAGACAACCTGATTCAGTAAAGTGAGATGTAACTTTAGCAAGAAAACCCCTTAAATCACCCATCACTAACACTAGAGTATCTTAGCAAACGATGTGGTGGTTTTTCTAAGAATTAGGGGAGAACTGAGAATTAAAAAGTATACAAAACAGATTGACAAAGATTCTACTTGAGGACTCTGAAGGGAAGTCATTGGCCCGCTTGAGTTAAAAAAAAGAGGTGACAGAGTAGATATCCTTTCATATAGAACAATAAATAGAAATCAAAGAAAAGTCAAGTCAGAATATATAAATGTTTACAAACCAATATAAGAAGCTTGAAAAATAAAACATGATTAGAATGTTGAGATTGTGAACTCTTTGGGACTATTTTAAATATCTTTATTGTTCCTCCACAATAGATAGCACAGTACCTTATACATAGTAAGTGCCTGGTAAATATTAATTTGAATAAATTATAGCAAGTAAAACTCTTAACATGATTGCGATTTCATAAAGAGAGAGAACCTATGGACAGGGGACATTGTGATGTCTATTCACAAACTGTGAGCAAAGGATAAAAATGTGCAAGAGACAGAGTACATTATGTACATGAGGAGACAGCATAAGCAATTGTAGCCTAAGACCCTTTACTAAATGAGAGAAGCACAATGAAATATCTATGGAAGCAAATTCTGTTCTTAATAAATTAATGAAAAGTAAGATGTTATTCTATAAACCATCTGGTAAAGGAAATGAGACCAGACCATGAAATAAATAATGTAGAGAACTTTAAAATTTGTCAGATAATAATCTTGAAGAGTTTTGTTCATTTTATTGCAAACTAGAAGAATACCTTATGGAGAGGAATTTCTGATAAGCCATGATGTCTTCTGAAAAATGACAAGTTGAAGAACTGCAAGGAAGAAAAATAGTCTAAGCTTGGTTCTTGGAGCAAAATCATCAAATCATTCAAATAAATCTAATACATTGGTAGAATTTTTAGGATATATGTTAAAAATATATTACAACTCACTTTAAGGAATTGTGATCTTGGATTCAAGTCAACTATGAAGCTAATAGAAACTGGTTTTTTACATCCTAAAAATAATCAAAATACATCTGTGGCATAATCTAGTACATCTGTGGCACTTCACACAGAGATTTGCTAAACTGACTAGGCTTGTAGAAAACTAGGCCAAATTGACAAAATACATGTAAATGGCTCATCATATATAAAGATAATAAATTCTACCAGTTATTTAACACCTGTGTGCAAGACACTATACTATGAAATTTACAACATCTGTTTTAATTTGACCCATCTTATAACTCTATGAGATAGCTGTTGTCCCATTTCACAGGTGAGGAAATTTGAGACTGAGAAACATTTGAGAAATTCATCCAAGATCCCAGGTGGATTCCCCAGTCTTCAAATTCAAAGCTAATCTCTAAGATCATGCTCTTAATCACTGCCCTATTACTAATTAGAGGATTAAATAGAAACTGGAATAGGAAAAAAAGAGGTCAATTCTTTTGAAATAGTGAATATACATGTGTGTGTTTGCCAAGGTTACAATACCAAAGTATTACAGATTGGGTAGCTTAAACAACAGAAACTAATTTTTCTCACAGTTGTGGAGGCTAGTAGTCCAAGATTGAAGTCTTGCATTTCTTGTGAGGCCTCTCTCCTTGGGTTGCATATGTCTTCCTTCTTACTGTATCCTCACAAGGCCTTTGTGTGTGTGCATCCCTTGTGTCTCCGTATGTCTAAATTTCCCCTTCTTATAACCTGTTAGATTAGATAGATTAAGGCCCACCCTAATGGTCTCATTTTACTTAATCACCTCTTAAAGGCCTATCTCCAAATATAATTGTCACATTCTGAGGTATACGGGGGTTAGGACTTGAACAAATGAATTCTGGGGAGACACAATTTAGCCCATAACAAATGACAATTAAATTCATCATTCTTTGAGGAGAGCAACTACAATAATCTGAACCTGTGTAAACAAGTTTACATTTAGTTCCTCATTTAATCCTCACAACAACCATGTACGGTAGCTATTAATAACTCCATTTTACAGGTGAAAAAAAAAAAGGAAGCAAAGAAAGATTAAGTAGTATGCCCAACAGCATACATCTAGTAGGTTGCAAAATAGGAATTTAAACTTATATAAATCATATCCCAAAGCTCTTTCCTAGAAGCAGAGAACTTTGGGGATGGCAAGCTACTAAGCAGTTCTTATCTCACAAGAAATCTCAATATACGCATACTTTAAAATACAAATTAGTATATTAAGAGTCCCAGGGGAGTATCCCACTAATACAGAAGAAAAACCATTATTCGATACCTAATTAGACATAGCAAGGCAGTACTAAATTGCTGAGAGAGGCTATAGAGCCAGGGAATATCAAAATAACTGAAAGGAGAATTTGCTTGGAGGGAGTATAATGACTGGGGCTTACTGTAAGGCCAGGCTGGCAATTACTTACATTAGCAAGTGTGAACATTTCCAATCTGCTTGCTGTGAGGTACCTGGTCTTGGACTGAGCAACCTAATTTATCACTCACTTCTGACTCCTCAATCAAGTTATAGCACCATCCTTTATTATTGCCAGTCTAGAAGTTACAATTTTATTCAGAGAACACAGTTGAAAAATGGATTCAACCTAGTATATCCCTTCTGGCAAAATTTTCAAGAGGATTAGGAATTACCTTTCCTTCCTAAATCTTCATCTGACTTTTTTCTGACTCTATTATACACCCTTCAAGACGGGTACTGGTTGATACTTGTCAGCCTTCTGTAATATGGCAGGAAATAGCAACCAGCATTAAAATACCTTATTCGGCCTACTCCAATCCCAAAAGGGGAGAAACCACAGGGTTAATTAAATAACATCATAGCTCTCATGGGTTTCAGATAAACAGGCAAGGGTCTTTAGGATATACCCAAAACATACAAGGCATGGCCCAGCACACAATCAAGATAGAGCTGCAAACAGAACTCATCCCTTCTAGGCCAAAACTCAAATATTTATTATTAAACATATGATTAAAATCAGCTCTTTGTGCATCCTTTAAAATAGATTTTCTCATATCAATCCATTACACTGGGATGTGGTAAGAGAAAGGGAGTTAGTGTTGGGACAAGA